TTTGAAAATTTACAATAAAAATTTGTTATGTTCTTATAATGGCTTTACAGTTTACCAATTCAAATCCTTTATCACGTTAAACAGAAATTGTTCTCCGGAGTATGCACTGGTTAAATATCAAGAAGTTATAAGTTTTACTTAGCTTGGCAAGATCATGGGAGCATCAGGATGACTCAAATGTCCTCAGGGATGAAGCAGGACTTGCTGTCATCACGTGAACCCGTCACTTTTTGCTCAAGAAAGCTTCACAGGCTCATATATATATATATTTCCAAGGAGATTCCAATCAGGATCAAGTAATTGTGATTATTACTGTTATTAATTAGCCAAATTAATGGACCTAGAACCAATTACACATATTTCTATAATTCAATAAAAAAAACTAACTGGACCTACAGCCTAACGAATCAAATGTATTGAACTTACCCGTTAATCCGGGGAGAAATATCAAGTATATAATGCACTGACTACCACTGCTAGTCTTAATGCTATTTTCTAAGTATGGTCTTCAAGGTTCTATCAGCCAAAAGAGACCGAATTTGGTTGTGCACTGCTATTTATAAGCTACTACAACACGTGACAGCGTCATTGCAAATTTCTCTCATATCACCATATTTGGTGTGAGGAATCAAACGGACCGGTTTTGCTGACTCCGCCTCTCAATGTTTCCAGAACATTAATGTGACGTCACATCCAATTTTGCATCTCATTAAAAAATTTTACACACTAGCTCCCTCTAACTTACATTCCAAATGCAACTACTAGGTTCACACATATATTGTACTTGTCCGTTGCTTTTCAAAGTGGACTTCGATATTGAATAATTTATATGCATGATGATAGATGGCGCTGAATAAATAATAATATTTCTACGACTTAATATTTAAGAATTATGTTGCTATGTTTTAACGTTATTAAATTTAATTGCTACAATCTGAGAATTAAATGAGTAAACTTTAACATCAATAGAATTGGAATTCAAAACCGGTGACCAATCTATGTCAGCAGCATCAGATCTTAGAGCATCAGTGTTGAGTTTGGCAAAATTGCGCATGAGCAGTACTTTTGGCTTCGGTTTGGTCATATTCAGTTTATATGAAGCAAATATGAGATCACGGTGAGAGAAACCAGGAGCAGAGAAGTGACCAAACTTTGTGAAGTTATTCGCAGAGGAAGTAACAATAAGGTCAAGCCATGTGTCTGAAGATTGAGCATTATGATGAGTGGGATTAAGAGGGAGCACAGAAAAGCTGAGAGATTTGAAAAGATTTTAGAGTTTAACAGCGGAGACGGAATTTTTAACGAGGTCGGTGTTAAAATCACCCATGATGATGTGATGGGAGTAATCAGTGCTAAGTGGTGTCAGAGCAGCTTCCAAAGAATCATGGCAGTCCAAAGACGGTGAATAGACCACGCCTAAAAGAACCTTTTCTCGACTGACAGTGATTTCAAGAAAAATATATTCCGAAGTACCAGAAAAAAGAGAGGGTGAAACATTGACAATCTTGTGAGAGATATTTGCTCGAAGGTAGATAGCAACACCACCTCCACCTTTGCCAATTCTATCGTTCCTAATAAGCGTAAACCCAGGAATATCATATGAAGTTGAGTTCAGGCAGGGCTTCAACCAGCTCTCAGAAACAAGAACCGCATGAATATAATTAGGGGAAAATATTGTCTCAAGCAATTCGTGGTGATGACACGGGATGCTTTGGGCGTTAATATGACAAATATTAAAAAAGTCCTTCAAAGCTGTTAATTCAGAATTGAGCGAGTCACCACGAGTCATAACGTCATGAAAGGAATCATTTGAAGAAGAAGAAATGTCTGATCCGCAAGCAGAATAAAAAGAATTATCCATTAATAAATAAAATATATATAGCTATTTAAATATACTAAAATAAATATAGGTAAATTAATTTTTATATATTACTACTTGAACACGCAACTAATGCCGGTAATCGCTCACCTGCACCTGTATTTGTTTGTATAATATAGACTAAGTGGCATGACTTTACAGTGATAGTCTACGGTCATGTAATAACGACGAACCATTAGCGGAATAATCATCACTAAGTTAGGACGAATGAGAAATATTTGCTTTAAATAATACGTAATCAAATTAACGCAGTCCACCTGCGTTAGCATGTTTAACAAGTAGTTTACAGTATTTACGTCACGTTACTTTTTAGAAACAAAAAAGCTACTGTCTGGTTTTATGATTAGTCTATAGTTTTTTGTTTTTTAGGCCAAGCCGGAAGCCTTTGATAAAGGTAAAAAGGGGAAACAGAACAGGATGATATTATCATAAAAAAAATTGATAAGAGTTGTAGTTGTTCCCAGAATCGCACTAAACCATTTTACCCCTTAAAAGTTTTCCCTCCACGCTTCCCCCTTAGCTTCGACCCCAATTTTTTTTTAATGTATTCTCTTCCTATTGAAATAGGTATAGCGTTTTCGTTTTGAATTAGTTGAATAGATTAAAGCACGACCCCCCCCCCCCCCTGTTGTTAAGTGTACCTAAGTGGAATTGAGTCGTTAATATATCTGATTTGGTTGAAAAGTGTGCTGCCGCTCCAGCTATCCTCATCTTGCTTGTTGAATTGCTAAAATTTAACTTAATAAAAGAAAAACATTTTTTTTACGTAAATAGTCTGACAAATGACTGCATCATACCTGGTGTTACTCGTAAGTAACGGTGGAGTCCAGACGCAAAGATAGCTGGTACAGCAGTGTTACCTGTTATAGCAAAAATAAATAAAACATTTTTTTTTATGTATTCTGTGCATAACTCGGGTTAACTTATGTGCATGAAAGTTGGCACCACGATGTCGCGTAAAAGATCTCCACCTTTACAATGCTAATAAAGTTTCATTATAAAATTTAATAATTCTTAACGAAAATTTACATTGTTATCTATGTTTATGATTTCTTGTCTTTTTAAGTCAGAAGTTAACGCTGCATTGGCATGTTTATAAAAGAGAATATTGAAGAAACGTACATTTGAATAAATGTAAATTTAACATAGTAAGAGGTACTGTATTTCACCATAACTTAATGTTTTTCTTTACTGCACGCGAACTAAAGAATACAATGGAGCATCAACAGTAAGAACTCTAATAAAAAGGTTGATTCACAAAGTAACTGCGACAAAATAATCATGAGCTAAGCCAAGGTTAGCTGTGTTGACTGTGCCAGTACTAATGTTTGATATCATGTTTACTGTTTGCTTAGTTCAGGGCATTCCTTTTGTTTACAGTACACGAATTGAGTTTGTAATTTTAATGTAGTTAGGTACTGCATATGCTTGTCGTAGATGTTGGGAGATGTTTTTGACATAGTGTGTACGTTGTGCCTAATTAAATATTTGTTTGTGTTACAGCTTTAAAACAGAAAAATGATCAAAATTCTGTTTATATCTACTTATACTGAGTAATGTTAGGTATGAGACTATATACTTATAATGAATTAATGACCATATAGGTGTGCCACCTACACTATATCTACTTATAATATTTCGTTTAGGTTGGATTCATTAACTTGATATTCACTTAGCTCGCGTTTTCCTTAAAATATAAAGGCCAAATGCGCATGAAGGGGTTCCGTATCATTATCTATACAACATTAGATACTGTATTATAATATCGGCATAAAACGGATAAAGCTCACGTCTGTTATATGGGAGCCCCCTTAAATATTTATTTTGTTTAAATTACTATAAACTTCTTATAGGTTTTCCTACAATGCAACCTACAAGCAAAGAGCTACATTCCATATTTATTTTTAATTATTTATTTAGCCACTGCAGTTACATACATAACAAAGTTCAGTAAGCAAAATTTTATTTTTAATTTTTTTTATTCACTTCCCTAAAGTAACCCCCATGTTCTGAATTTATTTATTTATTTTATTCGTCTGTGTTTGGGTCACAGGCATAAATGTATGTACCAAATGTCAACTTGATCGGTCCAGTAGATTCTGAGAAACTCGCCTGTGCGAGACAGACAGACAACCAACCGTGTGATGTAATAAGGGTTCCGTTTTTTCCGATTGAGATACGGTATCCTAAAAGCTGGCTGAGGTGGGTTGCCAATTTTGAATTACCGTCACAGTGTTGTCAGAATGTTTTTTATGATTATAGCAATGACGTATTAAAAACACATAAGTTTACATTAACTATTATTGTCGACATCAAAGTTTACTCTTTGCTCACGGTTGTTGAGAGGTAGACAGAGCAAAGCGGATTTTTCGCTTAAATTAAAATTAACACTTGCTTTTGGTGGTGTTGTTTCTGTTGGTGGTTTTCCAGAGGTCCATGGCAGGCAGATCATTTGTGTATTATCTCTGATGTTGCAATCACCTAAGTAACGGTAGTTCCTTTTCATCAAGAGACCGAAAGTTTATGGAGGCAAATAAACTTTCGTTATAAAAATGGAATATACAATAATTACAATTACCACGGTAATGGTATCAACTGCCAGCCAACTGTCTTGAGTATTTATTTTTCGTACACATATGTTTACTGTTTCATAACACAAACAAACTTATAATTCGTTCGCAGTTTTTTAATTTTATTGCAAAGAATGTGAAGTATTGACGCGACGCGACAAGGGTTTGTATGTTTTTGTTTTTTTGCGAGGGCAGTTGAAATAATTTTCTTTCTTCTTGGTCTTTACAACTAAACTTCACACTCACACTTTGGTCATCAGGTGCAGTGGTGTATTTTAAAATCTGGCGCTCCGGGTCACTTACGATTTGATCTTCCCTCCTTCAATTAGTAAATCAAAATATAGGTCAGTAACGAACACTTTTAGGTACCTGTTTGGTTTCTGCCGCATATCTTAGCCTGCCACCCTAGAACATGGACTTTTTGGCCCTAGAGCATACAGGCCCCTGACCAGGCGGCTGTGGTAATTTGACTAAAACCTGTATACACTTAAATAAAAGAATAATGATTGTTTATACATAAATACAAGCAAGATTTTTTTTATGATTCACAGGTGGTCAAAAAGAAACGCATAGAATACGAAAGAAAGAAAAATGAAGTTAACTTTGACGAATCAACCGGTAAGCTAATAATTTCCTACTAAATTACAACATATTGTTTAGAATTTTAATTATACCAAGTTACTCTAAGATTTACGCAATTCCGCTAGTTGAAGAAGCGATATAATCATTGTTAAAAAATAATGTGTTTTGTTGTTGTGATTTTATGTATGTAATTAACTAGATCTCAGCAGCATAATTCCCTAAGGTCAAGGCTGTACTACAAAGCAGGGCTTGAAACCGGTTTCGAAAATACCGGTTTCGTACGGAGCGCGTCCGAAATGAAAGCGGTACCTAAAACCTTAATAAACCGGTTTAATCCAGAGCGACACGTGCACGCGTCGGCATCGCTTGAAGTTTGTTTTGTTTGAACTAATCAAGTCACAACTTGTTAATGCTCAGAGATTGATGCATTTATTGACACGTTTGCTAGCATCTAGTGAGTCAAGTTATTCATTTATTATTATCGATGCCGTCAGTAAGAGCGAAATTAAACCCTTTAAAAACCGCTAAATTGATTCAAAACCTATTAGATTTTGGTCTTGAGGAAAACCGTTTTTTTTCAAAGTTAAGGTAGAGCGAAACCTAAATAAAACGTTCCTAATGTACTTGACACTGATTTAGGTTTGAAAATTAACCGGTAAACAAGCCCTGCTACAAAGAGCCACGATTAGTGATAAAAGCAAAGCTTGGCGCCTGGTGACTAATCCTAGTCAACGGACTTATTCGTCCGACATAGCGACACTGAACTATGACCACTCTACAAGAAACTACTGCAAGTTAGGCGGCTAACAGCTCTCTAAGGCCCGTATTACAGAATGACAACTAAGTGTTCATCTTTACTTGAGTACAGTTAGAAAGGGATATCGCTATGTGCTATTTTAAAGCGACATCTCTTTCTAACTATGCTCAAGACTAGATCAATCACTGATAATCTTTCTATAATACGGGCCTTAGTCTCTCTCTAAATCTTAGACAATATAATATGGTACTACCTACTCCCTTCGAGAGAAGATACACTTGTAATGTATCCGAGATATTCATGTCTAAAATTTTGAGGTTAGGACTGTATAGTACTTTCATATAGATGAAAGGGGAGGAATCGCCCCCAACCACTCTTCCCCAGTCCCTACCACAGCAACCACATATTTTTAAAGATAAATAACCCTCACTCACTAATTACAGAAGAAACAATTGCAATTCCAACGCACAAACGACAAACAAATAGGTCAGTAACTCATCATTAACTGAATCGAATGGCGCTCTCTAATTAGTGCATAAGGGCGGTAGCTGTCATCTTGCGCACACGCCCAGTGGCTATTTTCATGATATAAGAATATGATTTATTAATGATGCTAAGATGATGTTGTCTTTTAAAGTTTAAATGATATATTTTTGAGGAACTTGTGTTGAATCTGTAAAACGTATTAATGATGATAAGTTGTAAAACCCGTGGCTGCGTGCGTTAGTAAATTACGTGGCAATGTTGAAATCAGAAGGACAAGTAAAAGTAATTGTTGATCTTTACTTGAGGCTTTTTTTTATAATATTTAGCTGGCGTTGTAAATAAGATTAATTAGTTTATTAGAAGCTAACTCATTTTCCCGTTAATATTTATAAAAAGAGAAGTTTAATCAAGTGACCAAATAAAAATTCTATGGCTGGACTTGTAATTTCTCAATATAATATTTTAAATGGTAATTGGAATAAATAAATACACGTATAATACGGAGCTTGATAGCGCAGTTGGTAAGCGCGTTCGGTCTGCAATCGTGGAAGTTAAGCAACTTTCGCAAGGGCCGATCATTGGATGGGTGATAAAAAAAATATTATCTCGAACTCCTACGTGCTTCGGAAGGCATCTGCAGCCGTTGGCACTTTTTCAGCATAATATTACTTTCATTTATTATGTTTTTGGCATATTTTACAAGATGTAAAAAAACCTTTAACGAAATCCAAGGCCACGTATTTTCCTCATCATGACGATATTTTTTTTCTGCTGGAAATACCTGGGAAATGGAGATATTGAAGGTCAAAGCCACAATTTAGTTTTCAAGATTTATACATTAATATTTTCGTTATAAACGTTATTTAGAAACTTTGTATCGACGCACTTACATACACGCACACACAGGCACATTCTTTGCGTAGCGCCACAGTTGCGCACCGCGCTATATATTGCGTACAGGAAAAAAAAAAATTTAACTTAAAAATATAAATGATTCCCACGTATAATATTTTGGGTGTACAGAATGTGTAGTTTTAGTCTTTGTCATAGGTTTTTTACACCCTGTGTATAAGGTGGGTTAAGTTATGCATATTTTATAGCAATCTAAACAAACAGAAACAAAAACAAAAATACATGTTCAAAATATGTAAAAAATAGGATACCGCGCCATAATAACATACCAGCTAGTCAAATTCAGCACATAAATGTTAAAAATAAAACATTGCACAAACAGAGAAGAAGTTTATTAGACAAAACTAATAAATCAAAATGATAAAAACTCTAACAATAAGAAAACATGTGATACATGACGATATTAAAAAAAACTTATCCAAGATCATTTTTTTTCATATGTCCGTCATTTCGAAGAAGCCTCTATTAGCCTATAGACATAGCTATTGACCGAGCATGATAATAATTGTTGAGTATGTCGTACTTCAAATATCGACGTAATAAATTTACATGGTTAGCTATCAATATAATTTATCTCGGTGACATCAGTAATAGATTCCCAACAGTTCAATAACATATCCTCATAGAAGCTTATGTCATAACAACAGTTTTTATATACAAGGCCTAGCCAATTCTATATTATTTAAAATGACACCGATGTAAAGTCGTGAATATTATCATCAATATTAACGGTCTTATTGCTGGGGCTTAGGCCTTCCCTACGGACAGAATAGAGAGATCGGACCATACTGGGGACATGAGATTGCTCTGGCTATCGCTTTCGATTTTATTTTTTATTTTTGACCGCTGAAGGTTTCGAATGCCTCCCGCTCGTTTTTTTCTTTTGAATTAGTAAAAGCAATATTAAAGAAATTGAGCGTAAGGTATTTGAAAACCTTCGGGGGTCAGAAATAACAAAATGAAATAGTAAGCGATAGCGATAGCCTTAGCAATCCCGGTAGGTAATTCACCTCCTAGAATAAGATTGCGAGCTAGAATTAAAATTAAATTAAATTAATAGGTACCTTTGTCGTAGGATAATTTGATAAATATAATTTTCGCAAGGATTTTGCAAAAATAGGGAAATTAGACAAGGGTGTCGATTCTGGCATGATTTTCTAAACCTAAACTTAAAGACAAAAGTGTATCCTTGACATTCTCTATGCGGAGTAAAAAGGAGAGACTGATAATAAATTTAATTTAAAAAACGATTGAAGGAACACTATCTTTCTACTTGAATATCTAAAACTTTATTGCTTCTCCTAGTTTGTTTCTATTTATTTTATATTAATATATATTAATTTATTAGTTAATATTGTATATATATGTATTGTATATTATTGTATGTATTGCATATGTATTATGTTATATTTATTCAGGAGCACACACTGACTGCCTTTTTCTATGTTCTTTCCTTTCGCGGGCCTGCTGGAAGAAATTTCATTATGAAATAAGCAGTGTCCTTGTACATGTCTCTTGTTTCTCTTTTATGTAATATTTTATTGAGTGTGTACAAAATAAATAAATAATTTTAAGTTTAGAGAATCGTATCGGAATCGACACCAATGGCGATAACATTGCTCAGTGATACTGTCAACGATTTTTTTTGCTTCCGCTTCGCTGGCCGCTGCCTTGGCTTGCTCATAGAGGTATAAGAATAGAGTAGGGGAGATATAGACTCTACCACAAGTGGAAGTGTCCCTCTGATAGAAAGAGAAAGAAGATTAGAGACCGCTAGCTTTCTCTCTCTAATCGCGCATGCGCATTGGCAACCGAAAGCATCTTACTATTTCGATGTCATACCATTGGATGCCATGCGTCACAAGAGAGAGCGATAGCTAGCGGTCTCTCATCTTCTCTCTCGTTCTACTACACAGACACTTTTAGAGCTGCCTTCCCCACTCTATTCTTATAATACCCATATGGGCTCGCTCGCTCGCTAGGTTAGGTTAGGTTAGTCACAACACTAACCTAACCTAACCTAGTGTGAACCCAAGAAGCCAAAAACCCAAAAAATATTTATAATAAGCCAACAATTTTTTTCGCAATCTTACTGAGGCGACTGGTGTATTCACATGAATCCTATCTTTTTTCTGTCAGATTTTCGCGAAAATTCAATTTATCAAATCATCCTACAACATCTATATATAAGCTAGTCAGTATCAACAATTATTATAGGTCGGTATTATTTACTCTATGTTTCCTTCGCCCCAAAATTGGCATTTGATGAAGTCATCGGAAGGACAATGTTAAGTAATAATCCAATATTTGACGTTAAATTCCAGTTATACTCATGTAAAAGCAAACATTGCGATTGAGTCCCTGCAAATAGCCACGTTATTTAAAAATTCAGAGGCCTATTTTTGGCAGCTATTGTAGTCCATAACTTTAAGGACGACATATATTTTTTAATATGCACTCCCAGATCAAATTCGATCTAAGTATTATTGTGCTACCTAATTATCTATCAAAACGTTTACCTTTATATAAAGATTACTTCCACCACAATATAATCCATACTAATCTATACTAATATGGACTCTTTTTCTCTCAATGATATCAACCGACATTCCTTTTCTAAGTAATCAACCTAGAAATAGTTTCCAATTTTCTCAAGTGACGGATTCCGAGGTTCGCAAAACTTTAATGTCCCTCAAATCTAAGGCAGTTGGGTACGACGGTATAAGTACGCACATGGTCCTTTGTATTCTCCCAATCATCACACACATAATTAATAATTCGATTTCCTCAGGAGAATTTCCAGACTCCTGGCGCAAGGCTCATATTTTGCCACTTCCCAAAATACATAATCCAACAACCCCCAGTCATTGAAGACCAATTTCTATTTTGCCATTTTTGTCGAAAGTCTTGGAGGCTACTGTCCATAGTCAACTATATGCTTTCATAGCTAAAATCACGTGTCACCAATACCAGTCTGGTTTTCGACCGGGTCATGGCACCATAACTACCTTACTAAAAGTCACTAAGGACGTTCGTGATGGCATGGAGATGTCACGGTTAACGGTTCTGGTTCTCATTGACATTTCTAATGCATTCAATGCCGTTGATCATAACATTCTCTTTGCTATACTATATCACTTGCGAATCTCGTCTCCCGAACTGGACTGGTTTTCATCTTATCTTCTCGGACGTCAGCAAGCAGTTCGAGCTGGTGGTGCTTTATCGGATTGGTGCGATTTATCGGCTGGCATCCCACAAGGCGGTATTCTCTCTCCTCTGCTCTTTTCAGTCTTCATCAACCTCATTACCTCCATTCTTCGCAACTCTTACCATCTCTATGCGGACGACTTACAAGTTTAAGCACAAATTGGGGTGAATGACCTGGATGTGGCCGTTAGGTCTTTAAATGATGATCTTCAGCGAATTTTGGACTGGTCTTGCAATTATGGTATTCAAGTCAATCCCAATAAATGCCAGGCCATTATTGTGGGCAGCTCTCGTCTTCTGGCGAAGGTGGGTATGAGCTCTGTTGCGTCTTTCTATTTTGAAAGAACCCCAATAAAGTTTTCTCCTTAAGTTGTAGACCTGGGCATACAGATTAACCATTCTCTCAATTGGAGAGCACAAGTAGACGCTATAAGCTGTAAAGTGATCGGTATACTTCGGTCATTCTATCAATTCAAAAAATTTCTCCCAATATCTTCTAAAATTATCTTGTTCAATCAATAATTTTGCCCATTATAGATTATGCTGATGTGTGTTACGCTGACATAATTATCTCAAGAACTTCTTAACAAATTGTATCGATTGCTCAACAATTGCATTCGTTTTATTTTTTGTCTCCGTAAATACGATCACGTTTCGCCCTTTCGGAAGAAGTTAAATTGGTTAACATTCGCCAACGTCGAAATTTTAGAATACTTTCTACAATTCAATCATTAATGATCCATGTGCTCCTGGATATTTGAAATGCAAATTTCGATATCTTGGTAGTATCCATAATCTCAATCTTCGGTCTAGCAGCAAACATACTCTAGCTATTCCCTCTCACCATAGTGGTTTCGTTTCCAACTCATTTTCTCTTCAAGCTATACGACTCTGGAACGCACTGCCTCCTCATATTCAAGATTCTCCGAACAAACTAGCTAGCTTTTAAACGCACGGAGCGTTTAACGTCATCATTTATTAGATTCCTCCTCTGCATCCTCCTGATATGATATAGATTTGTATGTATATACATATACTAGCAGACGTTGTCCTGTCTATACGTCTTTGTGAATCTAAACCATTCTCAGATCCCCTTGAACACACACAAAAAATTTCATCAAAATCGGTCCAGTCGTTTAAGAGAAGTTCAGTGACATACACACTCACAGAAGAATTATATATATAAAGATATGTAAATATTTATTATCATTTATATAAATATGTTTTTACATAGTATATATAGATATATTATATTGTTTCAATGATATACTTTAATTAAAATAAATATTTAGATGAATTATTTTTGCACTACCTTTTTAAGATCTTTGCTATAATTCTCCGGTTGACTGGTAGAGAATGCCTAATGGCATTAAATCCGCCACTTGTACACTCATTTGTGAAATAAATTATAAATAAATAAAAAAATGGGTGCGTGTACTTATGTAGGCGCGTGAGAAGTTATCCTTCTTTGGTATCGTTTAAAATTAGTTTTTAATTGCATGCAAATAATTAATTACAATAAATTGATAAAAAGTCTGGAAAAGGATACAGTCAATAAAGTTCAGTTTTAATTTGAAAATATAAATAAATAATCAAAATATTCAATTAAAATCGCTACTGAATATAATTTATTAGAACATATATGTGATTTGCACTTGTATGAACCTCAAACACGTATTCCGAATATACAAACTAGAAACATGTGGATAAATATTATAAATATGAATACCTATAACTGTTACTTTATTACAAAAAATAAAGATGTGGTTTTTGGTTCTACTACACCAATGGTCAAGAGATGGCGCTGTAGTCTTCTGAATCGCGCTTTGGTTCCGTTGTTCCAGATTAATAAATACTTTTGATAGGCCTTCACAATGCAGTCGTTAGCACCCACTAAATAGAGATTCTATTTCTATTTTGTTGGTAGATTTTCTTAGTGTGCAGTAAACACAAAAGTAACAGCATGAAGTTGGTCGCTAAAGCGAGTGTTACAGTGATGCGCGCGCATCTTAAAATTTCACTCTCATCCTTTTTTCATAACGCGCCTAAAGAAGTATAACTTCAATAAATATTATAAAGAGGAAAGATTTGATTGTTTGTTTATATTGAATGGGCTCCGAAACTACTGGACCGATTCGAAAAATTCTTTCACATTTAGAATCCTTCATTATCCGTGAAGAACATAGGCTATAGTGTTTTTTCAAAAAGTTAGGGTTCCGTATGAAAACTTCGATAATGTAACCCAGAGTGTGAAAAAAATACCAAAAAATAACCTTATATCGCGTACGCTGCGGAAGTCATTGACAATAGAGCAAAGTGACATACTAAAGTTTTATAGAGGACATCAATATCTTCAAAAAAGTCCGCGATACCCTATGTTTAACTATCACAGTTATGTCAATGTAATTTGAGGAAAAGGTTATAGTGAGCCAAACTTAAAAGATGGGCATATGCTGTCGCAGTTTTTTTAATAGAAATTTTAAAGGGCAACAATTTCACTATACGTGATTTTTGTGTAACTTTAATCATTTACGCAGCGCACGCAACGGAAGCTCACAAATGGAATATTTTTACCCGTTTTTGCAAAATTTTACATCGATGATCCGCTCCTACTGGTCGCAGCGTGATGTCATATATCCTTAAGTGTTACTCAATAAATGCACTATCTAACGTGAAACGTTTTTTTTTCGGACCATTACTTCCTGAGATTTGCGCGTTCAACCAAAAATGGTGTATCGTTGCAACAGGTCTAAAGTACGCAACAAAATATTCACTATCACTTAAGTAAATTTTCATAGAAGGTTTATAATTTTATAAAGATATTCATTGTGTATAATAAAAGCCTGAGAACAAAAACTATCATAAACCTACATTACAGCTCTACACCGAAGCGAAGGGAAGGCGGGCCACTAGTTAATTAAATAAAAGATTTAATTAACTAGTAACTTTCTCTCAGAAGATGAATTAGTTCCTGCTCAATTTTAATTGTATTGCTACTTTTTAATCAGGGTTAATATAGGTGCGATTAAATGACATGCGTACCTACTTAGTTCTTGAAATCGACTTGTGATAAACTGCGAGTTGGAGAGTTAGATGTATTGTAGACTTACTGCTAATACCTGTACTTACATAAAAGTTTTTACGAGTTTGTCTGCTAGCGTGTGGGTTTGATTGCGTTTGGAAATACTTTTCAGTATGGCTGTATGTACCACTTCAAATCAACTTAACAGATTATTCAACATCAAATTAGTAAGTGGATTTAATAATATTTATAAAAAACAAGTGCTTCGTATGATTTTTTACGTATTAGAATTACATACAGCAAGTACACTATTTATCCTATGCGGAGATGGCAGAGCCTGTGAGGTGCGATTATTTGAAGTTGAGGATGAGGATATTATGGCTAAATAAAAAGTAACTATAGAACTTTTCATATTGAGCAATACTTTTTTAAGCCTGCCGCAACGACAATGGCGTCGTATACATATATTTATTGTTTAGATTAATTACTCAATATAGCTTTTGTTAATTGTGTAACAAGTTACCTACTTTAATAAAGTGTTTTATTAGTTTATACATCTCATTGTGAATTTAGTACTTACACCTACGGTGCGCACGTCATTGAAGCAACAATGGATTGATTACTATGTTCAGTGGTTGAAGCTTGGGGCTACAGTATGGCTATTTGAGTATAAAGATATCTCACCAAATTCATACTAGACCTGGGGGCCCAACACCTAACGCGATTGCTATGGCTATCGCTATTGCTTTCGATTTCATTTCGTTTATTCTGAACGCCGAAAGTTTTCAAATGCCTTGCGCTCTTTTTATTTCTTTAGCATTGGTAATAACAATATAGACCTCAAACCCCCTGAGATATTCAACCCGAGTATGTACATACTCGGTTTGACTGTATTTCGAAAATATAATTTCAAAAATTTCAAGTTATAATAAAACACTTATTATGTTTTTTTAAAGGTAAGCTTCGCGCAGTTCTCGATTTATTGTTCGGTCGCGAGATTGAATTCACCGACGAACAACTTCGGGAGCATATCGACTCCATCACTATAGCTGGTAACGACACCACGGCGCTGGTCATCGCTTATACGTTGGTACTTCTGGGAGTGCATCAGGACGTTCAGGAGAAAGTCTACCTAGAGTAAGCAGTATTAAGAAATATTTTACAATACTATATCAGCCTATTGTTTGTTGTGCAAATGTTTTGAGTAAGTTTTTGCTTCTCGATGGACATAGAAGCACATAGCGAGAGCGGGCCACATCCCACCCCATGTGCCCAGTGCAGTTTAGTGGGTATTAATGACTGCAGATGCAAACAAACTACCAACGTTCCTTCTTGGTTTTTGGTCTACAATCGGATGGATTACCCGCCTTTTCGAAAGATTTATTGATATATCGAACCTCTGGCATCAGCCAAAAACCTACAGTAGAAATTTTTAAAAAAACAGGAAAAAAGTATATACTTATGTACCGACAAATTATAAGCAGAATCTTCCTTACCTGTTCATGATTTTTAATCATAAATTTCCTTTTTTTACTTTGCAAACGTGAAATTCAAAGAATTTGTAAATCATAAATGCATTTTAGAATTCTTTGCAAATCATTAATGCATTTTAGACTGCGAAATATTATATTACTGACGTAGCCACTTACCTGATAATCATAAGCTAAAAAATTCCATGGTATAATTGTTAAAACATTTTTATTTACTATAATAATGTCGCTTTTTGATTACGAGTAGCTATAGGTTCGATTTTAATTTGATGGCAGCTGTGAAGTTAGTGCAAGTGGCGAACTGACGACGCAGTAAACGAAATCCAGATGGCTCCGCGGTTTTACTGCCTGCAACTTAAAATTAGACTGAAAACTGAAAATAATTACGCCACAATGCCATAAAGTTTCATTCGCACTATACATCTTACCTACCAAGGCCTACCAATCCATCCTATCTTATGTTAATCGTATTATTTGGTATCGAATTGCGGACGCTAGCATACTAAACCTGTCTCCTTGGCAGTTTGGCACTTAAACGACCCCATTCCACTACTTTGTAGAGCTGTGGCTCTGGCTTAAGTCCTCTACGCACTATCCATCCTGCTGGGTCCAGCGTGCGAGACAGCGCTATACACGTAAAAGACATTCCGTATCTCCATCTCTTTTACTGTATAACGCTGTCTCGCACGCTGGATCCAGCAGGATGGATAATGCGTAAAGGACTTAAGGATGCACTGCTGGTTTTCAATATTACGGAACAGTTTTAAGGCAGAACTATACATATCTGTTGTGTTGTGACGGGCTCTGATGTGATGCATAGCGTTCACATCTATCTAATGCTTTCTGAAGTACGAACTATTATCGAAATATTTGGCTTTTTGTCAGGAAATTGCAAATTCCTAAATGTCAACCCTAGATGTGTCGGCAGACGGCCGCTGCCCCGCCCCTCTAACCCCCTTCTCTTTGACGCGATCGGAGTCTCTTCTGATGCGACACATCAGAAACCATCACAACACATCGCAACACACAAATGTAGTTCTTACCATACTAAATGTATGAAACCGATACCTCTCTGATGCCTCACAATACAACAGATAAGTGTAGTCCTGCCATTATTTGCTGCAGTATTCTGTAAGGTAGAGAGTACTTTCTTGGTACAGCGCATCAATTTGAAAAGAACATCGGCTATCCTTTAAATTTCTCATAATCATAATTTTTTTCAGACAGGAAGCCGTTTTTGGGGATTCAAAACGTGGTGCTACCAAAACAGATTTGCAGAAGATGAACTACTTGGAGAGGGTTATCAAAGAGAGTATGCGACTATACACTGTGGTGCCAATCATCGCACGTAATATCGACAAAGATACTTATTTACGTAAGTATCTCAAAATAGGGCTCAGAGACATGAATTTAATTTAAAGAGTGACAAAGTGACGTGTTATTCTGTTTTGAAAATTTTATTTTTCTTCCTATTTTACGCATCAACTTTAATGAAACTTAAACACAGACATTTCCGACCGACCGAGGCCCGGCATTTTTTAATTAAATGAAGTTACCAATGTAAGAACTATAACGAGAATGACCTCCTCTTGCCGTATCAGAAAGCAATACTTTATTCCAGTCCTCCAGAGTCCATATAGCACGGTTTCGAGCAACAAGGTGCTCACGGAGTAATTTAGGGCCCCAGGCTGGGTGTTAGCTCGTGCTTCTTCTGACCGTCAACAAGCTAGCTTCTATTCCTCTTACTTCTTCAAGGCACTTGTTCAGGTTCACACTTGACGCCTTAAAATTCCGCAACGCCTGACCCACCAAAAAGCGGCCATCTCTTGGTTCTGTGCATCGTTTTCTTCCTGATCCTCGTTTTCTTTTGACCGAAGCGGTCTATTGATACCATCAATTTGCCAAGTCGTCTAGGCAGTACAACTCACATTAAGCCGCTGGGACACGTAAGTTTGCGAACAACCTTCTTCAAGTAGGGCCATTATTTTACCGGCTTTTATCGCTTTATCACTCATCAGAAAGTCGTATTTAATGTAAAAAAGAAAGATTCAATTGTTTAATTTGCAGAAATATCCAAAAAGTCATTGGTATAAGTGGCGCAAACTTCATGAGCAAAACCACAGATTAATCATTATTATTCTTTTGTTCATTTCTTTGAATCTGGAACGTAAAGAATCATGCCAGAGTGCTTCAAACAAATAACATGCCAATCGTCGGCCGTGTTGCTATGATGCCAATACATCGTCAAATTAATAAAACCTCTTATTTTGTTATATTCATTGAAGTAGAACAAGATTCTAAAGGGCCCTTTTTTGTAAAAAATGTTTAGATAGACATATTTTCGTGGAGCTAGCGGATAAATTACATTTTGTTGAGTTACCTGATAAATAGACGTGGAACGTGGCTTTATTTTATTTTATGTATGGTCTGTACGTACATTTTTTATAGAAATACGAGAACAGATTTGTTAGTTACGCGGAATGATATCAGAAGCAGAATGATCACACAATATCGACATTGCCTTAACAATTTGCTGTTGACTGGCTGTTTCACATATACGGCACGCGCGAGTGATAGCTTTGGTATCGCAAGCATCTATAAGCTATGGTGTCGCTTGCCCTCATACAGGACATAAATAATATGTTTGTTTGCTACCCTTTTAACATTGTAGTGGATGCCAATACACAATTCACATACACTTCCACCCCGCTGGTCGAAATCTTTTGGTTTTTGGGATAAAACTACCTAATGAGATACGCCTACGTTTATGTCCTTTCCCGGGACTTATGTATCTTTATACTTACTAAATTTCATATCAATGGGTTCAGAGGTTTTGGAGTCAAGAGTGTGTATCCACAGTAAAAACCACGTAGAAAGTTGGTTTAGCTTCAGATTATTTATAATGTGTCCTCTTATTTTGTACTAATCACTTCGCTTTTTTCGTATAGCTGGATGCGGGGTAACCATACCAGCGGGCGCAGGCGCAGTAGTCGGTGCTTTTGCCATACATCGATCGAAAATGGTGTGGGGACCCAACGCGAAAGACTTCGACCCTGATAGATTCCTCCCTGAGCGTTCTGACAAACGGCACCCGGCTGCTTTTATACCCTTTAGCTACGGCTCCAGAAACTGTATTGGTATGTTTTGCGTACTCAATAATTCCTTATTTAGGGTTTCGTAGTCCTGAAAAGGAACCCTTATAGTTTCGTCATATCCATCCGTCTGTCCGTTTCCGGTTTTGCTTGGAGACTATTAGCACTAGAGAGCTGTACTTATATGGAGATATGTATATCGATCATGCCGATAAAATGGTATTTTAAAATTTGTATTTTTTTTTAGGTAACTCTCCTATATGTAACCTTCGGTTGATTTTTTTTCATTATCGATCCCATCGTGTGGGATATTGTGGAATAGGTCCTATAAAATTACTTAGGGATTCGAAAGAATATTTTTCAATTTAGGTATCTGTTTGCAAAATATTGAACTTTAAAGCGCTAATGTTTTTTTCGACTACGGCGTCGTCCCCCTTGTAATATCTAAAACTATTGGCTTGAAAATCCCCGCAAAATTCAAGATAATAGTGCTTTTCATGAAGTTTTAAGGAAAAACTATAACGGTTAAGATAGATTTGTTAGCTTAAGAGTAATAGTCGTTCAACTTTGGTGAAAGAAAATTTCTTACCTATTGAAAATTACTTGGAAGAAAACATTATTAGTGACATAGGTGAAGTAATTGTATCGTAACCTTAAAAACCACACTAAATTTTCATTAGTGTCACAACGCTACCGCGAATACCAACAGCAACGGCCTCCGAGTTCCGCTAACGTTATGTTTTTATAAAAAGTATATAAGCACTTGAAAAGATCGGCGGTTATACCGCATCATCCCCTTTTCAGGGGATGATCGCTTCAGATGAAGCTTTTAGTCAGTAAGAGTCTGACATAACCTTGCAGCCGGCTGTAGGGTATCCATGAGGATTTCAAATCCACTCCCCCCGCCTGAGAGGAAACAAAAAAACCGGCGGTTATCATTCGTATTAAAAAATAATATCGATTTGATTTTAAGTTTTAGACGCAGTTTGAGTTTGATTTAGGTTTTTTAGTTGAGAATCATACTTAGATTGATATTAATTGGTTTTTCTAATTTCCGATACAGAAATTAATGACTCATGCTCAAATTATATTGAGGTAGGTAACTACGGAACCCTATACTGCGCGTGGCACAACACGCACTTGGCCGGTTTTTACATAATTACGATGGCAGCTTAAGAACGAAAACAGAATCACGCTTGGTGAATTGATACATAATTAGGGTATTTTTTTAATTAATTTAGGGACTTTGACAGGGTACGTCAGTCCCATTGGTTGCCATTCTTTGTGACTATCCGAGTCAGCTTTATATAGAATATTTACCATTTTTCGGTCGTAAACATTTTCTAAAATCAATACGGGACTTGCCCGTTAAAGATATCAGCAACATCATCTTTAATTTCTGCTTCGCCTTACAGTCCAATAAAAAGATTGCTGAGCCTACTGAATACCAGAAAGTCACGACAAATAAATATTTGAAAAAACCAAATTAAATTAATAAATTAATAAAAATGTAAATTAATAAAAGAATTGATTTACTTTAACAGGTCGTAACTTCGGAATGCTGATAATGAAGAGTATCGTCTCGTCGGTAATAAGAAGTTACAAGATATATGCACACGACATAGGCGGACTCAAAATAGAAATGCTGTTATTCCCAATAAATGGGCATTTGATAAAGATTCACAAAAGATGATTTTATGAATATTAGAACATTAAAGAATAGCATAAGGAATAATTAACATTTTTACAAGAAATAAATCGGGAAGAGGTTTGTTTATAGGTCATAAAAATTTAAACAGCTGAGAAAATTAAGATTTTTAGCAAAACAAAATGAAAAACGCTCTTTCATTTAAATATCCTGCCTTTATTATTACTACTTTGTTGAATACAGTTTATTTTATATCGCAAAAAAATAATTAATTATATATTATTTGCAGAGCCTTCTTATTGATTTAACAGATATGTGTGATAGTTTTAGAATACTCCTATATCTATCATATTATTCAAAACAGAAACTTCTTACAGTTAACAAATGTAAACCTTTTCATGGCATAGTTTACTAGCTCACGAAGTTTAAAAAAAAGCTCTTGAAGTTTGTAGTCCCACATTCATCCAATTCGGAATCGATCGAATTATAAGCACGTTTATATTAGCAATTATTATATTTTATAGCAACTCGTATACTCGCTTTGGGAAAGCACGATTTAGAGAAATGGTACTGTGAGCAAAGATCACAGTTGGCCACCGGAACAACTCAATAATAAGAACATTTAATAACAGCATTTTACCTGAAATAAAAAGCATATTGAAATACTTACCCCACTGGAAGTTTTATATTGAGATACCACTTCCGTTTCCCGCCGAATTGCCATCAGTTTCCGTAGTTTTATTCACCTTGTACCCTGTCCAGTAGCGACACCTGGCAGAAGCGCGGGCATTTCTGTTTTCTTAAGTTTTGACAGCGCCATTATAGCTCATTGGCTCAATTAATTAACCAGGCAGAATTAAAAGTGGAAGCTTTCAATGAGGATAGGGGTACTGTACCCCTAGCACGAACCATTATCGAATTCGAATAGTTTACGAGAGCGAAATATCAATTTCAAATTTTGTATGGAAACTTGAACAGCAGCGCCACAACGGACGTAACGAGAACTGAAAACCGATATACATTTGATATTCGATTTGTGAGCCACCAGCCGCGTAATATCGCACCTCGCGCCGCGTAAAACTCGCTGTTAAGGGCACCTCTGCAGCCTCAACCGTCACCAATACCGAGGTGCTTTGTTTTTTCATATTTTAAAATTTGGCCCCATTTAGCGAAAATCATTGAAAATGTTTTTTCGTTCACTCCAGTAAGCCATGAGACGTATGAGAGCTCAAAAGACGCGGAATTTGAAGAACTTTAAGAAGATGTAAAAAATATTTTGGAAAAGTATAAAACTTTTTTGGAAATAAAGAAAAATTTCGATGATATCTCGAGAACGGGGGCGAATTTCAATACTAAGAAAAAAGAGCACAAGGTATTGAACCAAGGAATACTTTAGGTCATTTCAGTTTTTTCGATATTGGTGACAGTTGAGGCTGAAGAGGTGCCATTAGCTGCGAGTTTTGCGCGGCGCGAGGTGCTATATCTCGCAGCTGCCGGTTCACTTGCAACCACGAGGGCGTATGAGAGCTCAAAAGACGCGGAATTCAAAAGACTTTAAAATGATGATTTTTTCATTTATTTGGAAAAGTTGGTTTTTATTTTTTATATTTTTAAATAATCTTTAAAAGGTAGATTCATTTTCAATGCCCTTTCAAGTCGTGTAGAGTACGAGATCTGTAAGTTTCTTGAAGTGAAACTTCTTTACGCACGCTTGACTCGGGGAGAAAGCTGGCGAACTCGGAAGAACTCGAAGCTACAAAAAGTATGATCGGGCGAGGCGAACGGGAGTTGAGTGGGGGATATAAGCAAGAGAGAGCAGCGCGCGCACATTTTCTTTTTCTCTTTCTCTTATAGCTAGTAAATGAAATATGTATATATTGTGCACGCATTTAAATATATATATACAGATGGAGCTAAAGAAGTTTTACTTCAGTCGTGTGGTCATATGCACACTCGTTTTTTATCTGAATGTGGTTTCTGAATAAATTATATAATTGTTAATGCATTTTTATTTTTATTCAAATTTATCATATTTATATCACGAACAAATACAAAGTGTAAGAGGGGGTGGACCTGCGGTCTTAGGCTGAACGCAAAAGCATGCCCTTGATCTTCCATAAAATGCACACTTTGTAGGGCTTTCTAATAGTTTATAGCTGAAAATGTCGTAGTCCATTCATCAAGTAGAAAAAACGTGAAAAATAGAGATAAAACTCCTAAAAATATAAGCAATAACTCTTTGGATTCGGAATGACCTCTAGAAAAAGGAGTTTTGAGGATTTTACTGCACGTAATAAATTGCAATTGTTATTAACAAAATAAGATAAAAAAGAGGTATTTAGTTTTTTGTTAATAACTCATAAACTATTAATATTTACGATATTTGGAAAAAAGGTCCATAAAGAGGAGGAAATTTCCGAAAAAAAAGTTCCAGCTCCCGGAACTCTACCTCTATTATTAATCATTTTAATTTAACGCTGAAAATAGGGCTCCGCGCAGCCATTGCGGCATGTGTGCACTGCCGCTAAAGACAGCGTACCACATAAAATTATTTTTTTTATAGTAACAAATATTAATTTAAAAATTTGAATAAATTATGGTACCAGCTAGATAGGTACTTGAAAGAATAAATGAACGTTTAAAAAAAAATTCAAAAAGTTATGCAATTGTTAATTAGCTAATTTTTTTCCAATCTCCGTTTTCGTAAATGACGACACAAAAGTTTAAATAAAATTTTATAGGTTTAATAAATTTTTGGCTCTGTGGAGCTCTTCTTATATACTGGGTGGAAATTTTGAATGCCACCCCCAGGGGAACTACTCTAAATACTGGAGATAGATACTCAAAGGAAACATTCCTTTATTTTTAAAAAGAAACACTACTGCATTCACAGTTTTTCGAAAATTTGTTTGCCACACCCGGGAATCGAACTAGAGAAAATCATTTAAATGAGGTATGCAAAGAGGTATGTTACATATTTTTGAAAATGGAATAGCTAATTAGAACGCGTTGTCTTAAGTCTTGTTTGCTGCATCAAAATTTACCATAATAAATAATGGCTTCTCAAGAACAATTTGATTTAATTGAAGCATATTTTTTAAATCACATAGATGTGAATTTAGCTCTGCGGTGGCATGGAGAGACATATCCGGATCAACAAGTACCAACTCGTCTCGTTTTAAAGAGAATGGTAGATAATTTAAAAAATAATGGAAGTTAGAAAACGCGACATCAACAGCAACGGTTTTGATTTAGGTGTTTTAACATACTTCGAAGCATATCCAAAGGCTTCAAGCAGAGAAGCTGCCGAAAAAATTGGAACCAACCACACTCGCGCAAAAAGTATAAGTAAAAATGTTTTCGTGATGGTCGGTTGGTTCAAAAATTGCATCCTGGGGATCGTGAAAGGCGACTACTATTTTGTCAAAACATGCTGGCAGAAGTTGCTCGTAACCCGGATTTTTTGAGTAATATTGTATGGTCTGACGAAACCCACTTCAGTAATAACGGCATGTACAACCGCCGCAATAACCACTATTGGTCTCGAGTGAATCCTTTTCGTGTTCATGAAACTAACAGTCAAGTAAGATTCTCTTTCAACGTTTGGTGCGGAATTATGAGAAACATGGTTGTGTTAGTCCACGTGTACGATGGTCATTTAAACACTGTCAAGTATCTTGAAATACTGGAACTCTTAAGAAATGTTTTAAATAATTTACCTGAGGAACAGAGACATCGTATAATTCTACAACAAGATGGTTCTCCGGCCCATAACAGCAGAATCACCGCTGCCTATGTTAATAATCATCATTTCAATACCTGGATTGGTACAAACGGCACAATTAGATGGCCTGCGAGATCACCAGATCTCACGCTTTTTGATTTTTTTATGGGGATAAATAAAAAATAAAAAAAAAATACCTAAATCCTATGCAACTGTAAACGAGTTAAGAGCTGAGATTCACAATATGATTTTTAATATTCATCACAACACGCTATTAAAAGTTACTAGAAATGAATTCCTTAAAAGAATAAATTTGTGTATCCAACAAAATGGAGATCATTACGAGCAACTAATTAGTTAGAATGATATTTTTTGTTCAAATAAAATAAGTTAAGATTTCATGCTTTTTCTTTAATTAAATGTACTAAGTTTTTTAGTAAGATATGATCTCTATGATTGACCCTATCGATCGATGCCATAAAAATACAGGTGTCATTTTTTCGATTTTTTGCCAGTTCGATTCCCGGGTGTGGCAAGCAAATTTTCGAAAAACTGTGAATGCAGTTGTGTTTCTTTTTAAAAATACAGGAATGTTTCCTTTGAGTAAAATTATCTATCTCCAGTATTTAGAGTACTTCCCCTGGGGGTGGCATTCAAAATTTCCACTCTGTATACTTAACAAGATCACGCGATAAAAGTTTATTAAAGTTAATTATTTTTGAAGTTATACTTTAGGCGCCTTATGAAAAAATGATGAGAGTGAAATTTTAAGATGCGCGCGCATCACTGTTGTAACACAAAAAATTACTTTTGTGTTTACCGCACATTAAGAAAATCTACCAACAAAATAGAAATAGAATCTCTATTTAGTGGGTGCTAACGACTGCATTGTGAAGGCCTATCAAAAGTATTTATTAATCTGGAACAACGGAACCAAAGCGCGATTCAGGAGACTACAGCGCCATCTCTTGACCATTGGTGTAGTAGAACCAAAAACCACATCTTTATTTTTTGTAATAAAGTAACAGTTATAGGTATTCATATTTATAATATTTATCCACATGTTTCTAGTTTGTATATTCGGAATACGCGTTTGAGTTTCATACAAGTGCAAATCACATATGTTGTAATAAATTATATTCAGTAGCGATTTTAATTGAATATTTTGATTATTTATTTATTTTTTCAAATTAAAACTGAACTTTATTGACTGTGTCCTTTTCCAGACTTTTTATTAATTTACTGTAATTAATTATTTGCATGCAATTAAAAACTAATTTTAAACGATGCCAAAGAAGGATAACTTCTCACGCGCCTACATAAGTACACGTACCCATATTTTTTTTATAATATTTTTTTAAAGTTTACAAAGAATAAAGTCTAAGAAATGTTACGAAAAAATTTTTTTTAACAAATGTTATATTGCAGTTTTCGTATCCAACAATGGCATTAAGTAAAATTGAAAAAAAAATTACATCATTCGTAAAAAAATTGAATAAAAATTTTTTTTTTTTAGTATTTTGATATATTTTGCTGTTTTTGTTATTTTTTAGCTCTAGAAAAAAAATATAACGGTAATTAGAATTTGTTTATAGTAAAATTGTTAAGTTGAAAACAAACAATGAAATTATTGATAAATTTTTTTTAAATTTACCTATGGAGAAATGCCAATTATGATTTCTAAAGAAAAAATAATTCCTTAAATAATTATTTAAATAATTGAAATATAAAAAAACGATTATAAGGGTCGATCAACTTTTTCTTGTATCAAACGTCCAAAAAGTCAAAATAATATAATTTCAATATTATTTAGTTTTTTTAACGAAAAATAAATAAAAATGTATTAAATATTTCAATGACAATATGTCGCGTGAAGTAAACCTTTAATTTATACCCTTTTCACATTAAAATCAAAGATGAACCTCGAATTATGTCCATTGGCTAACCAGTTTGAAAGCTACAATTTTCTATTGTATTAATAGTCTTTTGCAATAACATTTCGCAGTTACAGTATTAATAAGACTCTAAAACTACTAATGCAGAAAAAAATATGTTAAAAAGCTATTACATTTTTTAGAAACTATTAATTTACTGTCTCTTGGGTAACCAATGATAAAAACAAATTACTTTTTATTAAATTACCTGCGATTCTGCTGTTAAACTCAAATAGTTTTATTTAGATTTTAAATGTCTCAAGTATAAATAACTACTGCTTACAAAAAATATTAGTTACCTATCTTTTTTTAACAAAAAAATAAAGACATCTTTTCTGAAAATAAGGGACACTTAGTGACCCAAGAGACAAATTGAGTGACTCAAGAGACAGTATATTACGGCAACAACTAACGATAGCTCTAGACGTTGTATAGTAGGTAGTAGGTAATATGCACTAAGAAGTAGCAGACGGTCAAATTAAACAATTCTTAGAAATATTTGCTTTATTTAATTAAAATGTCGTACAGTCTTGGAACTTGGTCTTCCGTTATTTCTCCGAAACTGTTCACTGCTGCGATGGAGGATATTTTTAAGCTTCTGGACTGGAAAGGATTCGGCATTAACATCAACGGCGAGTACCTGACACATGATTTGCCGATGACGTAGTCCTAATGGCGAAGACCTTGGAAGACCTGAACACCATGCTCGAGCATCTCAGTGACGCATCCCAGCGAGTGGGTCTTAAGATAAACATGGACAAGACGAAAATCATGTCCAACGCCCATGTTGCACCCGCTCCAGTTAATGTTGGGAACGTTACACTTGAAGTTGTTGACCACTACGTTTACCTAGGACACACAATCCAGTTAGGTAAGTCCAACTTCGAGAAAGAGATCTCTCGTCGAATCCAACTCGGATGGGCAGCGTTCGGGAAGCTGCGGAACATCTTCGCGTCCAAAATACCACAGTGCCTTAAGACGAAAGTTTAACCAGTGTGTGTTGCCAGTGATGACCTATGGCAGTGAGGCGTGGTCGTTTACTATGGGTCTCATAAGAGGGCTCAAGGTCGCCCAGCGGGCAATGGAGAAAGCTATGCTTGGTGTTTCCCTACGTGATCGAGTCAGAAATGACGAGATCCGTAGGAG